CCTATTCTCCTTCAAGTACCACTCTACTTTAAGAGCTACAGTTCTTATAAATAAAATTGAGTTTAAATACATTTTCCCCTCACTTTCAGATGTTTGATTCAGTAGTTATAAAAAGCACTTATGGTGTGCTGTAAGACACACTAGTATCCAGACAAGACAGAAAGCTGCTACAAACCTACTTCACATCACCAAATGCTGTTGCCATGCAGGTACGTGCCCTAATGACCAACGGAAAAGTGAAGGTTTCTCATAAAGGTGACTTGGCTCAACACTGCTCATCTGGTTTATTTGCATCTCCATTACATTGAGCTGAGACATGCAGTCAGAGTGTCTCCAAAAATACCTCTATGGCTTTGTTTGCTTTCTTCTACTGTAAAAGAGTAACCATATGCTAAGTTTAGTGGGTGTTTTTAGTTGTTTCCTACTTTGGAGTTTATTTAAATTTAAAGAAAAAATTGACTGCAAACCAGTAAGTCAGAAATAATTCTAGTGAAGTCAGCATAAACCAGGTACATATTCACATTAAAACTATAAGGAACAGCCTCAGGTGCATCAATTTCAAGATCACATGGTACGTTTACTGTCCAAGCATAGAGAACTTAGACTGCTGTGCGACTTTGAATACTATTACCAGATAATAACACTTCTTTTAGAAAATAGAAAATGTAGACAAAACTGTAGTTTCAACTCCTGATTTTATACCTGTTCACAGACAACTTGCCTTTTTTTTAAACATATAACTGCTTTGAAACACACAATAGCTTAACAATGTTTTTTAAATTAGACCTCCCAAAGTCAAAATTCATATCCCTAAAATTTTTAGCACACTATTTTCTGTCTTTCAAAATGCTCTTCCAAACTTTGATTTGCATATGGAAACATCTACATAAAGCAATTTAAAAAACCAAAAGAACCCACACCTCACAAAGCTGGGCTTGTAATTTTTTTTTTAAACCATGAGTCCGTAGTACAGATACCTAAACTGTGAGCAGCATAAATCAAAGCCTCTGTGAACACCTGGTGTGCATTACCTACATATTTTTATATAATACATCACCACCTCCTAATGCCCCATCTCTCAGCTTACTGCTCCATTAGTGTTTCTAGTGACCAAAGAAGATGTTTTTTTCCCCTCCTGACATCTTTAGAAACTGAAGAACACAACTAATGATTTGCTGGCCAGGAAATTAAGAATCAAACAGGCTCATACCGCGCCTGCCTGATGCAGCCTGAATAGGAAGGTTAATGACTTGATCAGTGCTTGCAGACAGCCCACCACAGTGCCACGACAAGCCTTTGTATTAATTGCCACGAGCCAGCAAACTGTGTCCTGACCCTTGCAAAAAGCACCAGCTATGCACGGGACAGTGCACACCAAGCCTGGGAGAGAAGGTGATGAATGAACCCAAAGGCCATCTGGGTTTACAGCAATGACAGTACACTTCTCCTTTGCTCAGCATGTCTCAAACGTGCCATGGGACCTGCCTAGGGGGGTACTGCGGAGCATCAGCTGCTGCCCAGCAGCCCTTGTGGTCACTTCTGGAAGGGGGGTGGCCCAACGGTGGCTGGCTTTTGTGTCTCTGAACTGCCCTCCAGCAAGCAGTGCAGCTTGCCCTTCCATTCACACAAATTAATTCAGAAAACACTGTTATTCCAGAATAACGAGCGGGGAATTGCAAGTAGAGAGTGAGAGCTCTCTTGGCATCTGATTTGAATCTGCGAACAGCTTCTTGCAAGGAACTATTTTTAAGTTTCATATCAATCTGCTTGAGAAAGTTTCCTTCTGCTGCCTATAAATGTGCAAACTCCCCCTTCGAAGAACCACAGCTCAGGACAGCAAGATCCAGCCCTGCACTTCCAACCTAATCAAGACCAAATATTTCACGACCAAAGCATTGCACAACCACACAACACTCCTGCAGAGAATGCCCTGGTGAGCCCCACCTGAGCATCACTGAAGCCCCGCCATGACACTCAGGAGTTCTGTGTGTTCTTGACAAGCTTACAGGTAGCACACATTCACCAGTGAAACAACCCACACTGACTCAGTCTGACTGCTTCTGGAAGCATTACTGGTCTTACCTCTGCAACAGAGGTGGAACTGCTATATGAGATTGAGGAAAAAAAGGAAAAAAGTGAGATGCAGTAAGCATATAGATGCTGTGCGTGACCTGACCAGCGAGGTGAAACCATTGTACTCTGGGTTATCAGAAGTTCCTGTATGAAGGCATTGTTCAGACTTAAGAGGTCTGTGAGAAAGAAAACAAGCAACAGCACTACACAATGGATGCAGATAAGCAACCTCTGAACAAAGCCCTGGGCGACTGCAAGACAAGGGAAAACTTATTAGCTGCAAGCATCCTATATCCTGCTTCCAATAAAGCAACACAGATGTTCTGCTAATGCAGGGCGTGAAAAGATGAAAAGAGCACTAAGCAGCTATCAAGCCCTCCGCAGGAGAGAAGGTCAGTGTTCAACAGCTGTCGGAGGGAAACAGTGGCTAAGCGCACAAAGACATCCACAGGATGGGCATGAAAAGCCTCTTCTCAACAGGTCTGAGAATATAACATCTATCTCATCACCAGTAAGGGAGGCCACCGTTATGACCACGATCCCCTCGACACCATTCGCAAGCCCAGCTCCAGCCCAAGAACAGAATGAGCATTGTTCAAGAGTTTAGTCACCAGGGCGGTTATCTCCACTGGGAAATACATGGTGTATGCACACACACAGGCTGCAGCGTTATGGACTGCGCCTCTCTATGGCACAGCACAAACGGGGCTCTGCTCAGTGAGAGCTACCAGATCTGTGGGTTTGGAGGAATGAATTGCTCCAAGACCCACTTCTTGTCTGAGAAATGGGGTGCAGAAACATCCCCATCACCAACCTTTGGCCAAGTGCTCTACACGGTCTGACCTCTCTCCTCTCAGTGTACTTCCCAAAGACAGAGCTGTCAGCCCTTCACGAGGCTTTCCTAAGCCTGAAAAACTTGTTCCCTGGAAAATTCAGGCTATTTAACTAGCACATACTGGGCAAGAGGAAACTTCAACAAGAACATTATTTAACATCCAGTTACACAGGAAACACACTGAGACGTAGAAGGTCACACCCTACTCCTTCGCAATTTTTTTTTTGCTTCCTCAACATGGTGTTCCCCATCCCATTCCCCACTGCAGAAGCACAAAAAGTGTTTGCTTGTGCCAGCAGGTGGGATTTGGACCCCAGCTGCCCATAGACTTGGTCATGCACATCTCAGCCCCAGCTGTGCAGAGAAGTGCCAGCACAGAGAGGCTGGGCGCGCTGCAGATGCTGCACCGCAAACAGTACACACGCAGAAGCGTCACCAACTGGGTGACACTGGACTACAGTGCAGCTCAGAGCCAAGGCAAGCTGGGTGGCTGCACAGGGGACACTGTCCCAGGATGCTGCAAACATCAGGCAAGTTCAGCAAAGGGCACGGTACTACCCTACACCGCATAACAGCACTCTTTTCAGTTCACAAAGAAATGCTATAAAATGTAAACATATATTAATCTTTTCATTCAAAGTATCTACACCGCCACTGGCTACAATTCAAAAGTTTCAAGGGCGTAAGGAACATGACTTTTTTCTCTCTGATAAAAATACTTTTGTCTCTCACTGTCAGCAAACCAGCAAGCAATGTAAATGAACATTTGAAAGTCACTGTATAACAAAGAGTTATTGCATATAATCAGAATAAAAAGAGCAAAAATGAATGCAAATAGGAAGTTGAGCTTCTCGGTAAAAGGGAACAGAAGTGAAAATATGAAGACGCCACAAACGGTAATAAAATGGATAAAGCCATGTTAGACCAGATCCAGCCCCGGTCTGAACCTGTGCATACATAATCACACCAGTTCTGTTACTCATTACACTCATAAAAATAAACTCAAATCTTTTTGAGCAACAGTTGAAGTTCAAGGAAAAGCTTTTAAGCTTGTAAAATGTACCAGATTCCTTCTAGAAACTCAAACAGGTTAATTACTCTGATCAAAATATTAAACACAATGTCAAGAGCTCTCAAAAGCAATCAGTTATCCATGTTGTCTCAGGGTTTTTACCATCCTATTTAAAACACCTTTGAGGAGCCACACTTTTGGGAAAAATTTAAAAAAAAAAAAGAAAGAAAAAAAAAAAGAAGGCAGATGCTCCTTTCCCAAGAATCATGGTGAAGTGGTCCCAAACAGGGATACCCACCTCCCCTCCCTGTGAGCCCTCCACCCCGACTCAGACCTCAAGTATTTGGTAAATTTTGAAAGTCACCCCTGGAGCTCCAACAGTGATAAGCAACCAAGAGCCATTCACTGCCTGCAAAATCGACTCTGCAAAGATGAGCACTAGCAAAAAGGCTTAGCTGTAACTCGGACAAGCCTAGCAGAGCCATCCTGTTTGCATGTCCCTTGCAGAAAGCATTTTCCCAACACCCATTTTTCTGGGAGCGCTGCTCTCCAAATATTTTGTCTGTTCCTCATCTACAGGACAGCTTTCGAGTGCATCTGCAATTCTGTCTCCAGGAAATACACATAAAGCCGATTCATTATCTTAAAATGTTGCTCTCATTTCTGCTCATTAAAAGCACATTTCAGGTCTCTGCACTGAATGCATAGCTGATGTGCTCTGGACACAAATTAAAGCACTGGGTTTCAGTTCTCTACTTTCCTCATTTCAGTTTCATTTGCTGCCCACAATATTCATTCTCCAGTTTGAGGACAGCCATATCAGACCTGAGCTATCATTGGAAAATGCTCTGGATAAAATCCTCTCTCTCCCTGCGATTGCCTGGCACACCAGGCAACTGCACCTGATGTCAGACTCAGCCTAGATTTCAGGAGCTACATCCTGCACGGGCAGCATCCTCCCTGCAGAAACAAAGCAATAAACAGTTGTTCTGCACATCCCACACCCCAGCACACCAAGCCATTCGGAAGAGAAGGAAAAGCAAGTGAGCTTAGGTAATGCACGCATTAGACAGTCCTCACCTTTAGGGAGTCAAAGCAGGCAATAACGCGACCATTTTCCACATGGCAACTCCGTGACGGATGGGCGAACTTGCACTCTGCATCAGATCGAGAACAAGTACCTCTCTGAAACTCTCGACACACTTCTAACGTCAGCCATTTTGTATCACGAACAAGGGAAACGTTTACAGCCATATTAAAAAAAAAAAAATTAAAATGCAAGCAATCGCACCCTTCTTCAGGGCAATATTTACTGCTGATCTTACTTTTTTCTTCTTTTTTTTTTTTAAAAAAAGGGTAAAAAAGTGAATTCAAGTTAAACGTGAAGAAATAACTAACTTGTTGCTTTGGTAGAACTCCTATTCATCAGCACTTAGGTTTTCATTTAAGTCAAATCGTGTTTGTTTAAACAAGAATTAAACATAAAGCCAATCATAAAATAGAAATCTTATCAGAACTGAAAATCAAATTAGAGGCCAGCTCCTAAAAGTGCAATTGTAGAAGTTAAAATATAAGTGTTATATTTTGTGCCACTGCCGAAGTTACTTGCAAATAACTGGCAGACTTTCAAAAGAATTCTGTGCTCTCCAGTTAATGGTTTCAATTATTCTTGCAAAAAGCATATGCTGCTGGCAGCACTTCAGTTTGTGGAATGGTCTCGGTCCTTGGGGAGAAAACTTCAGGGTTTTTTTTCCTTCTATTTCTTGCTTCTAAAAATTACGGTTCGCGAGCATCAAAACGAGCAAAAGGACGTCTGGGTTTTTTTCCTCTTTCTTTCTTTTCTTTTAAATATTTGCTACATACTCGAGGAAAGGAAAAAAAATAAAATGGCTGAGCAAACTGCGTGTAAATGGGGAGCAAAAAAAAAAAAAAGGGACAAGGCTGGAGGAGTTGCCGTCAGGGCACGAACCGCAAGCAACGCCGAATTAAAAAGAGAGGGGGGCGAGGGGCAGAGAGAGGCAGGCCCAGACA